GTGAGGTTCAGTATGCTTTCTAGTGCAGGAGCCTAGGGGGTTAGGGTTAAACAAAAGTGAATTAGGTATTTTGAGAAGTTAGTAGGAATGTTTTTCATTTGTATTTGCATGTATTGCTCAAAGGGCAATTCGTTATCAAAAGCGGAAGATAGTCCAGTTTTTTGGTCCAGAGAAAGAAATGGTATGTCGAAAAAAGTTGCTCTGACTGTCTGACTTAAGGTCTATGTAATTTTGATAAGGACCTAGCGTTGTCTTTAAAGTGCATGTAATTTTGACTGAAATAAACTCAATGACACTTTTGCTGTCTTTATGTAAAGATCAACTGGGCAAACATTGGGCAGTGCAAAGTGTCTGATCTTTAGCTCTTTATAATAGAGCATGGTGTGAAGGGTGACAAAAGTTTTCCGCTTGCCTGTCTTGTGTTTGGCATTCTCTCCAGGGGCATGGGAGATTACTTGTATCAAGGTACTTTCAGCACTGATCAGGGGACAGAGACCCACACCTCCATTGCAGAGACTGCGCATTCACGGGAGCAGTGTTAATGATGGCACTCTACTCTGGCTGGGTGATTTATTATTAAGGTTAGTCTCATTCATCAGATGTACTGTTAAATGGTCTTCAGGCTGTTTCCTTTAGCCATCACGGATTGTGGTTTCCTTATGTTAGGAGGCTTTCTGTAGGATGGGCTGTCTGTCTGTCTGTTGGGGTGTCTGTTTGTCGTTGTGTGGGTGGGCCAGTCTGTCTGGCAGTTGGACTGTCTGTCTGCTTGTTTGCTTCCTTTTTTGTTTTGTTTTCTGGAGCATGTCCCTAACGTCTGGTTTATCTCCAAGTAAATTTCCAGTTTGTGTGGATCTTCATTTCTCCCGTACAGATCAGAGTTCAAGATGCTGGAGCTGGAAGGGACTAATGTTCTATTCAATATCAGAAATACAGACAGTGAGAGATTCATTCAATTGGGCAACAGGCGTCTGCAGAAAGATGGTCAGCTTGCAAACGACCTGCTGTTTTGTTTTGTTTTTGAAGGGAATCTTCCTTGAATAGACCCTCACTTTGGGCACTCTGTAAACACATTTCCCAATCCACTGCTCTTTGTTTAAAATTTGGATGCAAAATCATGCCAATCCCCCATTTGTGTTGCACCCAGACACAGAGTCCAAGAAATCTCTGGGGGCTGGCCAAGTGTTAATCTCAAACTGGCTGCTGCACATGGCTTGTTTTAATAGCAAATATCACTCTCTGGGTGCACAGTAGAGGTGTGAAAAATATGAGGTTGTCATGGGAAACGTGCATGAGGCTACCTTTAAGTTGAATCTTGAAATATACTTAAGAGTGCAGTCGTGCACCCACGTTATTTAATGTTTTCCATTTTACTACTTGTTTTAGTTTTCACCGCTGAGTAATCAGTTTCAAATAAACATTCGGATATTCAATCAAGGATAATAATCTGCAGATAATCGGCAGAGCCCTATTTATTACTTTCCTTGTGATTCATAGTTTGATTCTGTTAAACTCATGTGTTTTGGAACAGTTTTTGCTCAGCTCAGTGTGCTGGATATGAAGTTCCACATACTGATTTCCCCTCATTACCTGGAGAGCGCCCTCTTGCAGCCAGATTGTACCATCACCGTGCTAAACCTGGAGTACTGCCAGCTGGGGACACCAAAGGTGGACAGCCTTTTCATCCATGCTAAAAGTGATTTCTAATTTCATTTTGTCTTTTTTTTTTCAGTTTGGGTGGAGAGGAGGGGTTCAGGTAATGAGACTGGAATAATCTTTGTGATTAACTGATTGATCCTAATTTCTCCAGTCTTGTGTAATTTGAGGTTGTCAAAATCATCCAACCATGTTAGAGACTGCAAAGGCACTTCACTCTGGCATTATTTCACAGCTCTCTGGCCATAGACATTAATGTTTTTAAGGGGGGTATCCCTCTTTTTTGAAACAGTGATATACTAAGCTCACAGATGTGTAAGTCAAATGTAGTGAGCAATCATGTTGAGTGGGTCTTCTTCCCTCCAGACAGCCAATGTCTTCGTGAACTGAGTGTGGTGCGTAATGGATATAGCCCTCACAGGAGTGATTACGGTCCAGCTGGTTATTCTGGCCTGGCCCAACTTATGCAAAGTGGCCATCTCACCAAATTGAATTTAGGTGGATGTGGTTTTGCATTGACAGGTATGTTTTGATTTGCCTTTTCCTAAATAGAGTTGTGATAGTTGTTTTGCCTTGATTGTAGAAGCCTACAGATTATTCGGTTCAAATTGGGAAAGCTTTTAAGACCGGTATACAAATGAACTTCCAACTTAAATGTGTAATTAATTTCTGTGAATTACCTGGTCCAGTTTAGCTGCTGTTTTTGGTGAAAATGTTGAGCAGCCGGTAAAAATCACAAGTGAATTTGAAATGAATTGATTTATTTTATGTAGGTTTTCTTAAGTGTTTGCATCCTTCTGAAGTCACATTCCATATCATAATGATAAATATAATGATAATGCAGACATTCACTGAGAACTGGTGCTTATTGGGCACTAAACATCATTATTAGTGCTGCTATAGCAGGCCTAGAAACTTTCCCGAAACTATCTCAGCTTCCTGGGAGTATACAGCTCGGTACTACCATTTCAGGCACAAGCAGCTGATCAAACACAATAACCTCTAGTATTTACCCTTAGAGGAGCCCATTGGCATCTCTGGATGGACAGAGGGGGAGAGAGTGAGAGCGAGAGAGAGGGGGAGAGGGAAGCAAGAAGGGGTAAACCAACTTGCCCAAGGACACAACAAATGTGCATTACTGCGATCGGGCACCGATCATAGTTCCGCATCACTATGATCGACCTACAGTAACAACCAAGCCATAATGTCCCAAGTCCTGGTATCAGATGCTTTGTGTCATTTGTACGTAGCCTAAAACATGTCTCATTACACCTTCTGTAGCATGGTTGGGTTTTTGAATTCTTTTTTTCTCACTTAGGTTGGGCCCATGCCACAGATTTTGTGGAAGCCTTGCGTCTCAACTTTTCTCTTCATCAACTTCTCCTGGATGCCAATTGTTTGAGTGAGTACCAGAATACACTCTGTATGGAGGGTACTTGTTGGCATAAATGTCAACAGTTCACATTCTTGTGTCAAGTCCACTGAACTAGAGGCCAAATATCATTGCATAATTCAGGGTTCTTTTTTCTTTTTGGGTTATTTTGGGATACCTGACAGCTGATGAGTGTCTACATCTGCTTGGCAGTGCCTTTGTCAATTCCTTGCCGGAAACTGACGGTCAAGCCTCGAACCTGTGCCTCGACCTCAGGTAAGCATGTAGGTCTGGGGGGAGGGAATTGGAGAACATACGTCTTGGTGAGAGAGCTTGCATATGTATGCATTGCCTTTGACCCGTCCCCCTCTTCCTACATGCAACCTGTATGCAGTGTCTGCAACCCCTCCCCCTTCATGCGGATGTACCGGTACTTCATGGACAGTTCCTAATCAACTGAGCTCATTTTTCTTCACATTATAGCTTCAACAGTGAAATTACCCATGACGGAATGGACAGGTTCAGCCAAGCAATCCTAGCTAGCACCAAGCAAGGTCGCCGAAGTAGCCGTCTCTGCCACCTGACATTGACGAAGGAAGAAGGGGAGAACAACCCTGGTGTGCACTGGGAGCTGGCTGAGCTAATGAAATTGACTGTAAATCGCGCAGCGTCCTTCGAGTTGCCCCTTAATTCTGACCGTGGACACATCTCGGATTATAGAGGCTGGAGGATGGAGCATCAGTCACAGACTTGAGGGGGGGGGGAATTATTTCCCTGTCTGAATTCTGGTTCACAGGAATCACAGCTTTAGACCTCTTTGGTCAATTTCTGGCCGTCAAAAAATGTTACTCCATGTACACTGGCGTGCGAAAGTTTGCCCGCACCCTCCGTGAAATTTTTCTCAAGTTCATTTTTTAATAAAAATTACCTCCAACACAACTTTTTTCCCTCCCTGTGTCCTTCATGGTTGTTTTATTCAGTTTTAGTCATATTTTTGCTTGTCTACGGGATCAAATTCTAAGGGAGAACACGCAGAATCCGCGAACAGCCCGAACGCTTTATTGAAACGCCATTTTGGAAGACGTCATAATATATTAATGAGCTCATGAATAACATTATCTGGGTATTTAAATTCACAGCGCGCTGTGGCAAACAAGTTTTTCAGCGCCCTAAATGAATATTTATCAGATCATATGGCACCGTCATTCATAAATATGGTAAATACTACGCTTACTCAGGTAAAATATCTGCATGTGAATCACTCTATTACTGTCAATCTAACGATCAACAATGCTGCGAAAATCACATCTCACAGACGTCCAAAAAGGGATGATCGAAGCCCTCCACGGGGAAGGAATTTCTAATCAAGAAATTGCCCGAAGGTTGGAGATCGATGAAAAGACGGTGAGATATAATCTTCTTAAGTTGGAAGAGAATAATTCAATGGATACTCTTCCACGCTCTGGCCGGCCAAAGGCTCCAAGTGCACAGGCTGAACGGCACCTCATCAGGACATGCCGCCAAAACAGATTTATGACCGCCCCCGAGCTCGCAGTGGAAGTTGCCAACGCCACAGGAGTGACAGTTCACCATACAACTGTTTCTCGTCGCTTAGCAGTAGCCGGGTTTCATGGGTGAGTTGCAAGGCATAAGCCACGCCTCACTGCAGACCACAAGGCCCGAAGGCTGCGCTGGGCACGTGAACACCTCGCCTGGAGCCCTAACGACTGGTCGAAGGTTCTCTGGTCTGATGAAATCCGATTCCAGCTCTTCCAGTCTGATGGGCGTGTCTATGTTCGACGCTGCGTTAATGAAGAATTTGCAGAGAACTGCGTTGTCCCATTGGTTAAACACGGAGGCATGGGAATCATGGTTTGGGGTTGCATGAGCTCTGCCGCTGTCGGTGACCTGGTGTGGGTCGTAGGGAACATGGACGCGGCGGGCTACATCAACGTGCTCGACAACCATCTGCTCCCTTCTGACCACCGTTTGATTGGCACGGAATTCCTGTTTCAGCAGGATAATACCCCACCACACACTGCTAGAATTACACGGGAATATCTTGCCAATCAAACCCCAGATTTCGTCTGAGAGATGGGGGGTAGTTGGGACTTCCAGTTGATGGAATGGCCCGCCCAGAGCCCAGATCTGAATCTGCTGGAGAATTTGTGGAACGAGCTCGAGCGGCAACTCCATCGTGAAGTTCGCCCTCGAAATCAAGACCAGCTCTTTGAAATTCTCCATTGGATTTGGAAAGGCTTGGATCCTCAGATCCTGGCAAATTTAGTGGGTTCCATGGGCCGACGATGCCAAGCGGTCATTGATGCTGGTGGGGCTTATACGTGATACTGAATCACTGATTCACTCATCGTGTTTTTTCCGTTACATGGGCGCCGCCATATTGGATTTTCACATTGACTTTGTGTAGTTACAGAAGATTAAACGTCAATTTAATTACCCAAGGGACCCCAAACAAGTAATTTTCCTAGCGTAAGTGAATTTATATAAAATAATACATATTATTGTAAACACTGAAGTTGTTTGCTTGATTTAATCTGTATGCTTTATTTGAAAACTGACAGGACAAAACGTTTTTTATGGGTGCGTGCAAACTTTTGCTCGCCAGTGATTGGAACCATGTCATTGCTTTTTTAGTGTGCAATTCTTAACTACATCGAAAATGTGAGGAAATACAATTTTACATAAATCACAACTGCAAGTAAGATGAGGCAGCCAAATCATGATCCATACGTGTATTCTGTTTACAAGTCTTTGACGGTTATGCGGATATTAATTTATAGAAGTATATTTTTGAAAGATTAATGTCTTTTTGCCAGTGTCTGAAATAGTTTTCCCTGTGTAAATTGAGGTTTATTCACAGCGAGTGTCATGATGCTTGTGTATTTTTTGTCGAACCGTGCTATCTTGTTACTCTGAATGATTACTGCAAATTGTCAATTTCTTTCAGACCCTGTCTTGGAGTTTTTGCCACATTTATGTTGTAAATTGTCAGTTGTGACCTACCAATTATATAGATCAGCTGAGTGTAGAACATATGAACTAAGATCAAAAACAAGTTACCATGTCACTACTATGAGTCTGGCATCGGCGCGTAACTGGTCTATGCATGTTATTGGTAAGCATATAATATTAGTCTGTGTGGCAGAGTCAGTTATTGTGTTGTATGTTTTTAAGAGCATTGAACTACTAGGAATATCACCCCAGACATTGTTACTCTTGTATGAATGAAAACTGATATCCCTTTGGGGTAAAATGTATTAAAAGGTCCACTTGAAAATAAAAGATTTAAAATTGTCCATGTTGTTACAGACTAACTCTGGATGTTAGTGCTGTTGTAGCTTCTTCTGTTTGGATTTTTTTATTTGATTTATTTGCCCTTTCACATACAATAAATAATAATAAAAAGAATTGATGTATATATGTATTAATAAGCCTTGTAGACCAAAAATATATACATTGTACATAAAATTAAGATATTAAGACTATGGCTACATACATGTAATGAAAAAAATAAAGAGCAGGGATGACACAGAGAAGTTATAAAAGCTTATTTCCATTGTGGTTCAAAATTGTGAAAGATTTGCACATTGAAACTATTTCTGAGATTTAGGGAGGAATTTAATACACATAGCGGGCATGAAAGTGTACTCAGAAAAGACAGGTGCCAATTAACTCTGGGCTCCGTATAATCTGAAGTAGACCCAGGAGTATACGTAGGACCCTGTTCATCGGTCTAAATCTAATACTGTGTATCATTAAACTCTTGGGCAAGGGCAAACTTTTAAGTCGGCCGGTGGCGCTCTTCTTCTCGTATGAAGCAGGTGTATACCCGCCGCGGCCCAAATAGCCAATTACAGCCAGATATGGGACGAGAAAAACGGAGC